GTTCTTGGTCATACTAATTGCACTGGTGTTATCACAAAAGATGGGAATACAACCTACATCAATTCTAAAGTCCATTTATTGTTGTTTGATCCACAAGAATTGAACACAAAATAAGGAAGCACAAACATACTCAGGTTCAGCAGTAGATAAGGCCACATAATTTTTCTTTTTCGTGGACCAAGATAGAAGACATGAGCCATGAAAGTGTGCCATACCTGAGGTGCTCTTTCTATCCACAAGAAAACATGCATAATCAGTATCAGCATATCCCACTAAGTTGAAATTACTACCTTTTGGGTACCATAGACAGAGGTCAGTGGTGCCTTTTAGGTATCTCAAGATCCTTTTGACAGCAGTTAAGTGAGACTCCTTTGGATTTACCCTGAGAGCGAGGCTGGCGATGCTCTTCGAAAGGGAACTATCACTCAGCTGCCCAAGAGTCCTATGCTCGGCATCAGTGCATAAGGGGCAGAAGGCCTAAATTGCATCCTCAGTATGCTAAAGTAAACCTTGATTCATTGGGATCGTGATGGTCCTCGACCCCCTACTCTAACCTCAATCTAGGTCATCCTGCTGTCAATCATCTCGCAATTTTTTGGGTCGAGATCAGAGTCTGATTCGTCGCCAATAAACTCCCAACTCATTGTCCTGCTCGACGAGCACCTGACCTTTACCCTTGTCATCACGGGAAGCTTCCTGGGTTGGGTCAGAAGATGAAGCCTCCCCACTCCCGAGATGTGCAAGATCATCATCAGTAGCATTCATGGCGACCTTATACTCTTCAGGTCGAAGGGAAGCAGCAACATCAAATCCCTCAAAACTAGGCACCTCTGAGACTGCCCCTATATCTCCCCCTTCTACGGCTTGCCTCTTACTTGGCCTCAGGTAAGCGTCATGCGAAGAAGCTTCCTCATCTTCAATACAGGGAGGAGCCAAAGGAAGATCGGGCATAGAGGTCGAAATGAGAGAGGGGTAGAGGAAGCAGCGCCCTCCTCCTTGGTGGGTGGTGTTTTATACTTCAATGCCACAAAAGAGAAGGGGGGGGGGGGGTGATTTGTGTGGTGTCCAATTTTTTGCGTGCATAGATTATTGAAGGACCTGGTTCTTTTATTTTTTGCGTCCAATTTTTTGCGTGCATATATTATTGAGCCAAAATAGCATTTAAAAACTCTTTGTAAACCTAATGATTATCTCTAACCCTTTGTGGAAACCAGCCTCTAGCTGTTGCGACAACTTCAAGTCAACTCTAACTTGAATACAACTTTCAGAGTACCTCGTACAATTGCTTCTAGATAAAGCTGAAAGGTACAACTTTAAACGCCTACTACAATGAAACCAGAATAAAAGACAAACACTCAAAACTGGTTCTTCTATCTAGTTCATGTATCTTCAGTTGCACACTTAAATCACACACGAATTGCTTGCAAAATGCCTTGCTATTTTGCTCTCGACTCACGTTTAACTTCAGCATTTATGCATTACATATAGAAGAGAACAAAATAATATATACTGAGTTAGCAGTATGAGATTAACTAGAGTTCCAATGCTATACTCTTCCTTGGTGGAATAGTTCTAGTTGTCTTCAACTTCTAACTTTCCCTCCTTTATCTTGGATAGAGTTCTCTTGGAGTAAGGAGTCCTTCTCCTTATCACTTATGCAACATTTTCGTTCAGGAGATATCAGATATAATCACTTAAGCTTATCTCCTTCACATGCATCTCATGTGCTCGAATTTGCCCGTGTCTTTGTACACTGTGTATGGACCTGGTTCATGCTTGAGTTCCTCTGTCAATCATCAAAACAAACTTCACTTGAGCCAATAGTGGGGCTTTGAAGGAGACATAAAAATGAGCACAATAAAATGCGCGATCACAAATACAACACCATCAGAAGAATGACGTTAACTTTTGAAGGGGGAGTCAGTTTGTATTTCTGCCAAAAGCTCGACTAATCACAGATCCCCATAGTGCAAGGAAGGACTTGTCTAACCTAGTTTGCGAGGTGTGTCACCAACTGGAGGCTCCGAGCGGTAGTTGCAAAAATGAGAAGAGTTAATTCGCAAAGTGAAAGCACATATTCGCATGAAGAAACGCAGACAAAGAAAAGCAATTACGGGCGTTGTTCCAATCCTCAACGAAGTCTACAACATCGGTGACGACAAACTCGGTCTTAACATAAAAAAGTCGAGCCAAAATTATTGACTGCCCTTGTCATCCACCTTGACGACGAGGGATTTGCTTCCACGATGGCGAATATTTAACATCGTAACTTGATAGAAGGTTGGCATACACAAGTGCACGATATGTCAAAGAGAGATCTCGACATTGGTCAATTCAGCGAATTCTGACAGCATCTTGACCACCTTGTAGACCAAGGGCGCAAGTTTGGCCGGGCATACCCGGTAGTAGCGGCAGAATTCCTCCACCAAGGGCAAAAGAGGAAGAGAGTAGCTGAGGGTGAATGGGTATGCGTAGAGGGCACAATATCCTGGATAGTGAGTATACACTTCGTCCTTGCCTGCGGGTACGAGCTCTACCTGGTCAGAGATACTATACTTAGCCTTGAACTCCGCTAAACGCTTGGTCGTTAGAGAGGATTGGAGAACCTCCGCCACCGCCTCCAACTGCCATTGCAAGTCCGATTTTGCATCGGGCTTGCGAGGAACAATCTCTTTCAATGAGAGAAGAGCCTCCGCTTCAACGGCGGAGATGGCGTCTCCTCCGGGAACAGAGGCCACAACAACCAAAGGGATAACTTAATTCTACTCATTATCATCAGAAGGCAAGTTAGACATGGTTGGAAAGCTCGAAAAATTTAAAGAAGGGAAAGGGTTGAGAAAATGGAAGAAAGCTTTAGAAACAATGAGTAGAGAAAGCGAGTCTAAGAAGTAGATGCACGAAATCCTAGCAATAAAAGTGAAAGAAAGATTCAAAATCGGTGATCATCCCCCTTTTATAACAAAGGAACCTTGAGAATCGAGGCAACTCATTAGGATTACAACCGCATGCAGAACGACAGAACCAACCCACGAGCTGCACGTGTCCTGGCGCGAGGCATCGGAAACCAACGTCATTATGATGAATGACGTCACGTCCCATCCATGTCAGGTTCTCTCTAAATGTTGCCCAGGAAAATCAAGACAACAAGAGTTTGAAACACGCGGCCCGTGTAATGCCATGTCATCCATCTCTAACAACAACCATGACCATTATTATCCATTTATCAAGCCCGTCCTTGAGGACGACCTCGATAAACGGAGGGAATAACTGTATAGGCGAAAAGCTTCATTTCAGGCATTTGACCTGGTCAACGGTGATAAAGCCTTTGAAGACTGTGACGTGCTAACACTATGACGTATCAACCTGAGCCCAAAAGGCCGGGGCTTTGTGAAGAAGACAAATTGTCGTTGAGGTCGAGGTGGTTTGATGGATGACGAGGACGAGGATGAGCATCCGTCTTCGGCACACAGTAAAGGCTAATTTTTGGATTTAGATTCCCTGGAGAATATTCTAGTGAATAATCCTTTCAGTTGTACTATCTAGGGTTTTGTGGCCCACGTACTCTTATAAATAGGAAGAGATGTAGTTCCAGAAGGGTATTGAACATTTTTGTAAGAACCTCATTGACATTCTCTCGGAAGATTCTCTATTTATTGAATACATACAATGCCTAACTTTACACTTCTTCTCTTTTATACTTCTCTCCCGATCCAAGAAGAATCAGAATATTCAATTGCTTATCATCATCCATCATTATCAGAAAGCTCGGTGGAAAATCTTACCCTTGTCGGGTGAACTTTGTTCCATTTATTACTAAAAAAATCATTTATTATCATTTATTGCTATCTTTTACGTTTTCAAGCCTTTATTGCTCCATTGTTGTTTTAAGATATTCTTATCTAATAGCACACATTAAATATTTACCATAAAAATACTAGATCTGCTACTGAATATTAATATTGACTTTGATTAGCCCTCCATTTCTATAAATCTAATTGTATAAAAGCCTAGATATGATATTAGGGTTATACAAATATGGTCAACATCTAAGTGTGCTGAAAGGTTTGTCTGTCTTAATATTTGACTCTTTCTATTATTTAGCTAAAGTTTGATATAATACTTTTAATTCTCTTGCAAAAATTTCTAAATATAAAAGTATCTTTATAGAAAATAAAGATTTTGGAGTAATTAAGTTATAGCAAAATCCTATTAACGTTCCTTTACGTGCTTATATCTTGCGAGAAATAAAAAAGAAGGCTCTGTTCTTTTCACCTTTGCTGATTTTCCTGTGCATATGATTTACCTATTCATTTTACCATATAGTAATTAAAATATATGTGAAGTATACGGACATGACCTACAGGATTAGGGCATGGGGAAATGAGTGTGGAAAACTAAGTAAAATAAAATGTACAAAAAACATTAATCTGATTAAACTACTCAAATGAATACAGAAACAAGTAACAAATATATGCAAAGCACCTGTCACTTTTCTAGATATCCGATGTCCATATATCCTTTTCCTTTCGGACATATTGGTCAAACCTCTCCGTATACAGGATTTAAATATAATTACATATATAAATTTTTCGAATGACATATAAAGCACTTCTTTTACCGATGTTAATATTATAAAAGTCAAATTCAATAATACCCACTTAAGAGTAAGGGTGTTCGTAGGTCGTTACGGTATGTATTTAGATATCGGATTCGATATTATCAGTATTTAATTTTTTAAGATACTATACCAATATCATATCTAATTAAATTCGATATGATTAAGCTTTTCTCCTTTTAGTGTCAGTGGTCTAATAACTTCAATTTGTTCGGCTTAAAATATTAGCCAACGCATAGAGTCATAGACTGTAACACTCATTAATTGAAATACTACTCTACTCTAGATTTCTAATCTTATGCTCCAGGTGATATTAACTCAATAAATAAAGTACCTAAAAAAAGACTAACTCCTTCCTTATTAGAAAAAGGCACTATTAAATAAGTATATATATTCCCTCAACTAGATGCGCCATTATATTATTTGTAACCATTCCACTTTATACGACACACTTTTTGATGTTTGAGAGAGAAGAAGAAAAACATGGAGCTTACTCAACAGGATCTTTTAGAGGAATTACTGGCTCCAAGGAGAGAAAGTTGGAGCACTTTTCAAAGTGGAGTAAATGAATTTTTCCCAAATGGATGGACTTTTGAATCACCTTTTTATCAAAATCCAGAATTTGTAGCCTTAAATTCTTCACTTTTGGGCCTAATCACACCCCCAGAATCAAACTTTCAGTGTCCTTTGATCACTTCACCAGAATCCTATCCATTAATTCTTGATTCTTTCACTGCCCCAGATAACATTAATGAGACAGTACTATTGCCATTTCAAATACAAGAAGAGTACAACAACAGAGCCATGGTTGAAAATCAAGAAGAAGTTGGCATTATTTCTAGTGATTTTCATGGCTTGCAAGAAGACTTGAATAGCTTCAGTACTAATGATGTCAAAGTTGAAGAAGCCAATTCAAGAATAATGGGTGTTTCTAATGTTGGAGAAAAGAAGAATAAAGTTAAGAAACTTGAGGGACAGCCTTCAAAAAATCTAATGGCAGAGAGGAGGAGAAGAAAGAGACTCAATGATAGACTCTCCATGCTTAGATCCATTGTTCCTAAGATTAGTAAGGTAAATCCACTTATTCATTTTTCTTTTTTGAATTTAACTTATAGTTTAAATGAGTGTTTACACTATTAGACAAATAAATGTGGACAAAAAATATGGTAGATAACCTCCTATAAAATGTTCAAATATACTTATAGTATAGTTTTAGCGCTCCCAAAATAATAGCCCATAAAATCTAGTAGGTATAATATTTTTCTTGAATATATATGGATTATATACAAAAGAAATACATATTTTATACACTTTTGCGGTTGGTGAATTCAATTAGTTTCAGCACAATGACCACTTTTGTATTTTACCCTAAATTCTTTTACGATGTCGTTGTATAATGAAATCCTTCTTTTAAACATTCAAATTAGAAAAAAAGTCTTATTTTCTCTTTAATCATATTTTTATTTTATTCCGCATAATGTTGGTTTGAGATGAATTTGAATGGAGAATAATGGTCGGTAAGAATTCATATAGCCGACATTGATGCATAATTGTTGTTGTTTGAAGTGTATTTTCTTTAGTCAAAATTTTTGGTGTTACTGCGGTTGAAAAATGTAATTATACTTGTTTTAATCGTTGGATTGATTAAGCAGATGGACAGAACATCTATACTTGGGGACGCAATTGATTACATGAAGGAGCTGTTAGAAAAAATCCATACATTGCGTGAAGATGATAATGTGAAAGACGAAATTAAGGATATTAAATTCGTAGGAAATTTCAAGGAGTTAAAGCCAAATGAAGCAGTTGTTAGAAAGCCTCCTAAGGTACAACATTTTAGATTAACTTTGTTAATTAACTACTCCATAGTTAACTTTGTCAAAAATTGCAGTTTGAGGTAGAAAGGAGAAATGTGGACACCAGAATCGAGATCTGTTGCGCTGCAAAGCCAGGATTGTTGTTGTCAACAGTGAGCACGCTAGAAGCACTTGGCCTTGATGTACAACAATGTGTTATCAGCTGTTTCAGTGACTTCTCATTGCAAGCTTCTTGTTCTGAGGTACTATATATCTTGAACCTGTCGCCGGTCAGTTGCTATGTATGAACCCGTTAATCATGGAAAATTTTATTTTGTGTTTCATACACTAGTTGTATGAGGCATCTTTTTTGTCTCACAGTTTTGTGGACCCAGATTTTTGTGGACCCATAAGTGTATGATTGGGGTCCACAAATTTGTAAGACAAAAAAGAGCCTCACACAACTAATGTGACACACAATAAATCTTCTCGTTAATCATGCAATATATAAGTTCTTTTAGGGATGAGAGTCTTGCGTCAACAGTAAGAGTTGATATCGTGTGACCAACAGTAAAATGAGTGTTCAAGCGGTAGAAATAGTCTCTTACAGAAAGACAAGAATAGGAATTGCGCCAAATAGGCTCAATGTTGTCCAAAGCCCATTTCTCGAACCCCACGCATAGAGGAAACTTAACTGCATTGAATTGCCGTTAGCGCATTGCCTTATAATCGTTATAGTAGCTTAGCAAAGTATGCCCTTTTCCAAATCCTGATAAGAAGGAAAATTGTGATAGGTTAATGGCTAGTGTCAAAAAATTTAATCTGTGATGAATCACCTGAATATATACTAAGCATTAACCTCAACAAATAAAGCTGAATGGATATAGATGATTCATATAACTGATCTCAACTAATTTGAAATTGAGAGATCATTGATTGATGATTGAGCATGCTAATTAATGTTTTCCTCTCGTCTCCGGATTTTGTTAGGCAAGGGAGCATCGAACAATTTTGAGCTCTGAAGACGTAAAGCAAACCTTGTTCAAAACAGCAGGTTATGGTGGAAGATGTCTTTAGAAGATGATATGGATGGACAATAAGCCCCAAAAAGCTAAGGTCAAGGACATTCTGTCTGTTGTTCAAGGAATATTGCAATCTTTAATAATGTCGGTACTGGTGTTTCTCCAATGTAATTTTCTTGATTCATTTATTAGATCTGCTCTCTATATTATTCAAATGGGGTTAAAAATGGTGTCCATCATCAAAATAATGGATCGGAGTATTGATAGTTGCAGCATATGAATTTACTAGTCAAGAGTGTGAACGTTTATTGTCGATTACATAGTATGGTTTAGTGGAATTCACATACATACAAGGCAGATCCAAATTTTTGATGCTATGGTTTTGAATTGAGAACGTGGATTCTAAGATACCAAACTCTATCACTATTTGTTTTGTCGCATATATATAATGTTGACATTGAAATATTATGTTATAGCGAATCCACAAATCTATTGTTGGATCCTCATACGAGTGAGGTCAGTGCACGTAGCTACTGAAATTTCACTGCTCAAGTCTTAGGATGAGAACAATGTCAACAATTAAGGCCTACATGTGAATTAAGGAAAAAGGGATGCAAAAGAACAAAAGTGTATGAGGTGAGGTACCTTCCTATTGGAGATTGGACCATTGAAAGGGACAACTCTCTTACACATTCACAAGAAAGCAAGGAAGTTTCACAATTTCAGTTTTGGAAAGAAAATTACGAGGAAACCTTGTATTTTGAGCCAATATTCGACCATAACTTACACATTTCAACCCTTATAACGAGAAAACCTAGTACTTCGAGCCATTCTTTAATGAAAAAGCAAGTAACAAGAAAGAAAAGAAATTGCGAGCGACGATGAAAATGCACAAGTTCTAAAGCCCAAAGGCCTACTGATCAACCCCGTTGCTTCTTTCGTGAGTACTTTATTTATTTGGGCCTCTTCGGCTAATGGATCAGCCTATCAACAATAGAATCAAAAATAGCCAAATTTACAAGTGGCCATTCAAAAATAGCCACAGTTTAAAAAATAATCAAAATTTAGTCACTTTTCATGTAAAAATAAATCTGAACGAAAACACTGTTCAAAATTTGGAAAATACTCTAGCAGAAGTATATTGTAATACTGGAGTTTCAGTGTAATATATCGGTCCAACATAATATGCTGGAAGTTCATACACAGGTGCTCCAATCTCCAGTATATTTTGCTGGAACTTTTCGCGTGTTGGAGTTCCAGCATAATATGCTGGAAGTTGAAACATAGGTGCACCGATCTCCAGTATATTATGGTGAAACTTTCTGTGTTGCAGCAAAATAGTGGCTATTTTTCAATGACTTTGCAAACACTGGCTATATTTCAATGACCAGTCCGAAAACTGACTAGCCCGTGCTATTTTAACTTTACATCAACATCGACCCAAACAGATTTGGCCCATAATTTGGTAACTATTTTGTAGCTCGTTCAAGGCATCTAATTTTATTTGGTGTTACTTTGAGCAAATTTAAAGGGATTTTTCGTTCCTATATAATATTTAAAACTTATTTATCAAAATTGTTAAAACTTTGTATATTACCCGCATTAATTAAGGTTTGCTTACAATTTATGTACAATCCCTTAAACTAGCGTCCTTTCATCTAAATAAGACTCCTTCTAATTATGTGTTACCTATTTTAAGCCATAATTAGCGGAAATCTTCTACCTCCCTACCGCCTCCTCCTATAACCAACCCCCATAATTTCCTGATTCTTCTATTCTTTACCCAAACAAGGACCACACCATCTTTACCTCTTAATTTTGTATGTTGAATAAGGTGCTATTGATGCGTTTTATGTCGTTTGGGAATGGAAAAACATTGTTTAATGAAGTTTTTTGGAAATTGTCGTCGTATAAAGTTTTAGGACCACACCATCTTCACCTCTACTTTTCTTTCTTTAAAAAATCAAGTAAGAAAAGAATAATGTATGGTACAATAATATGCAAACTAAAAATAATTTCTTATAAATTTAATACAAATTTGATATAACTATAATAATATACATACTAAAAATAAATTTCATATAACTAATTATATAGTATACAACATATTTACAATTTACCTACATCTTTCGTACATCATTCTTGCCCAGATAAATATAACTACAACATCGTACAACTTAAATACAATTTTCATACAAAATTTATATAATATGTATTTTGCATATGATTTGTATATATTTTGTATGTGGTGTGCTATTCTTCCTCTCTTAAATTCCAACCAAAACTTCCTCTCTTAATACAATTTTGTTACATATCAACAACTTTATGTAAAAATTTTATAATATAAATAAAAATTTCATACAACGACTTATATAGTATACAACTAATTTTCAACATTCAAATAAAACAAATATAACTACAAATAAAATACAACCAAATACAGTTTTCATACAAATTTTCTTCTTCTTTTTCGAATTTCAATCTAAAAGTCCAGCCAAAATCAAAATCTAATATTCATCGATGTCACGACCCAAATCTCCCTCCGTGGGATGTCGTGATGGCACCTAGTCTCTACGACTAGGTAAGCCTAACAATTGCGGAATCGCTGAAATAATAACAAAATTTGACAACTAAACTTCAACAGATAACTATATAACCGAAAAATGTCACTCGGCATGTATAAGTAAAACTAGTAATTCTGAATATAAAAAACTCCAAAAGACCCGGTAGTCACAAGTCACAAGCACTAAGAGTTTATTCTAACTGTCTCTATACATCAGTAACTGAAAAAATATAAAGGAGGAACAACATAAAGGATAGAGAGGGACTCGAGGTCTGCAGACGTTGGCAGATATACCTTGAAGTCTCCGAAGCAGCAGCAAGTACTCTCGACTAATAGCGGGACTGGTAGGAGGTACCTGGGTCTACACACAAAACATGTGCAGAAGAGTAACATTAGTAGACCACAACGGTACCCAGTAAGTGCCAAGCCTAACCTCGGTAGAGTAGTGACGAGGTCAGGTCAGGGCCCTACTGGAATATAACATATAAGGCAGAAGATATAGCAATGTAATGAAAGACTAAGAATTAGCAATAAGGAATTACAGAAAATAACCGCACAACATAGAGGGTGAACAATAGGGGCACTCCCGAGATACCGTCTCGTAGACCCAAAAGTAAAAACTCAACAGGGGATCTCCCGAGGTACCGCCTCATAGTCCCAAAACTAATATGCCGCGGGGGACCTCCCGAGATACCGTCTCGTAGTCCCAAAAGTGAATATGTAGTGGGGATCTCCCGAGGTACCACCTTGTAGTCCCAAAAGTAAATATGCAACAAGGGATCTCCCGAGGTACTGCCTCGTAGTCCTAGAAGTAAATACACAGCTCGAAATCGATGGAAACAACAATTAACAACAAGAAATCTTACAGTTTAAGACTAAATTCAAGTCAAGAAAAAGCAGGAAATTAACTAAGCATGTTGTACAGATTTCAAATAAGCAATTAAGACACGTAGAGATGCGATAATAGGCTAAACAGGATAACTACACATGCTGATATAACTTATTTAAGATATAACATGTCATTGCTCAGTAAAATCCGGATTTTACAATAATTAGTCCGTTGTGATGACCCGATAGGTCATCTTATGAATTAAAATTCTTTGTTCTGAGGCCTGAAAAACCTCATTTTATCCCTCCTCGATTTTGCGTGCGCAGTCTGGACGCGTTTCTGGAAAGCTTTTATATTGAAAGTTGATAAAAATAAGGAATTTTGCTTAAAAACCTCATTTGAGTTGACTTTGGTCAACTTTTTTGGTAAACGAACTCGGACTCGTGTTTCGACAGTCTCAGTGGGTCCGTATCGAAATATGGGACCTGGGCGTATGCTTGAAATTTGATTCGGAGGTCCCTAGCCCGAGTTATGAATTTTTGTTGAAAATTGAATGTCTGAAAATTTATTGTTTTTAAGAGATTATTGATGTTTGATCTCGTTTGTATCTGGTCCGTATGTTGGTTCCGGAGCCCGATACAGGTCCAATATAATATTTTTGACTTATATGTGAAATTTGGCGAGAAACGGAGTCATTTTGATGTGATTCGGAAGTCCGGTGGTAAAAATAGAGATAACATAACTTTCTTGAAAATTTCATTTGATTTGGTGTTTAATTCTTAGTTCTAAGTGTTATTTTGGCAATTTGATCATGTGAGCAAGTTCGTATGATGTCTTTAGACTGGTGTGCACTTTTGGTTTGGAGTCCCGAGGCTTGGGTGTAGTTTTGGATCTTTGGTTGAGAGACTAGTAAAGTTAAGAAATTTGGGAGTTTGACCATGGTCAATATCGGGTTAAGACGATCTCTTTTCAGTGTTTTGAGTGCACGAGCAGGTCCATAGCGTGTTTTATGATTGAAATTCATATATGGTTTGTGTCCGGGAGGTTCCGGATGAGTTTCGGGGTGGTTTCAGATCATTTCGGAGAAGTTTGGGTTTTGCTGGTTTCTAGTGCGATTTGCAATTGTGAACCTTTTATGGCAATTGCGGAAACAGTGTGCATTCGCAAATGCGATGTTTTGTTCGCAAATACGATACCTCTAGCTGAACAAAAGATGACTTAGACGGGATTTTTGATTCAATTCCCAAATTATCAAAACCTAAACCACAAGAGGCGATTTTCTAAAGAACTTTTCTTCCCCAAATCATTGGTAAGTGATCTTAAACTAATTTCTTTCAATCTTTTACTACTTTTTCATAAGATTCAACCAAAAACCTAAGTTTTTTTCAAGGTAAAATTGGGGAAGGGAGGGGGGGGGGGGTTGGGTAGAAACTAGGGATTTCAAAATTTTGGAATTTAGACCTCAAATTGAGGTCAGATTCCAAAACCAATTATGGGTAATCGGGTTTTGGTCCTAATTTCGGGTCTGGACCAAGCAAGCCTGGGTGTTGACTTTTGTTGACATTTTCAAAAATGGCCTAAATTGAATTCTTTGCAATCGTGGTTTGATCCTAAGGCGTTATTTGAATCGTTTGGTTGGTAAATTGCTAGATTATATTGATCTGGAGGCTTGTGTGAAGGGAAAAGCTATGATTGAGCTGTGAGTTTGGTCGTTGGAGCGAGGTAAGTATCGTGGTTAACCTTGACTTGAGGGATTAGGTATTATTTGCCTATTTGCTACGTGTTTGGATGTTGAGTACAACGTATAGGTGAGGTGAC